ACTATTTCTAGATACTGTCAACTGCCCCCTCCATGGGGTTTGTTCTGTTTTGAGCCTTAGAATATTTTTGTGTGCAGCAAGCTTCCAGACCCCTTAATTTTCAAATAATTTATCTGTAGGTTCTTCTGAGCATTTACATACAGTCATATCCATCCACGAATAATGACAGGTTTGTTCTTCCTCTACAGTCTTAAAAACTATATGTCTCCCTATCCTGGTCTCCCTTCGCCTTCTCCCCAGTTTACTTCACTGGCAACAATTTCTTAACTTGATTAGCAGCAGGAGCAACCTTTGTCTTTTTCCATGTCTCAAAGTCCTTTGGTTTGTCACTAGTGAGTTAGGTGTTTGCTCTGTGTTTTGGACACAATTTCAGATTAAAGACATTCCCTCAGTTCCTATTTACTAAAATTATTTCAAGTGTACAACTCAGTGGACTTTAGTATGCTCCCAGAGTTGGGTACCCATCACAATCTAATTTTAGAACATTTCATCACCCCAAAAAGAAACCCCATAACCATTAGCAATCACTCTGCATTCCTCCCTACCCCAGACCCAGGCAACCAATAATCTATTTGTCTTTATAGATTTGTCCATTCTGGAAATTTCATATAAACAGAATCATACACTATGTTGTCTTTGTGACGGGCTTATTTAGCATAAGGTTTTCAAGATTCATCTACATTGTGGTATGTGTCTGTACTCAATTCCTTTTCTTTGCCAAATACTCCACTGTGTGCATCTATTGCATTTTATTTACTCACTCATTAACAGATGGACACTTGGGTCATTTCTATTTTGGAGTTGTCATCAATAATGCTACTATGAGCAAGGTTTTGTATGGACTTACATTTTTATTTCTGTTGGGTATGTACCTAGGTGTGGAATGGCTGGTTCATATAACTCCATATTTAACCTTTTGATGAACTGCCAAACTATTCTAAGGTAGCTGCACTGTTATACATCCCCATCATGAAAATATGAGCTCTGATTTCTCCATATTCTCACCAACACTTGTTCTTTGTCTTTTTTATTATAACCATCAAAATGGGTATGTCATTATGGTTTTGATTTGCATTTCCCTGGTGGCTAATGGTAAATATCTTTTTATGTGCTTGATGGCCATTTGTATTTACTTTAGGAAAACATTCAGATTTTTTACCCATTTTTTTATTGCGTTATCTTTTTTAATAGAATTAGCTGAGATTTTTTGCCTTTTAATTGTGTTTATTACTCTAAACATTTTCTTTTTTAGCTTTCTGACTCTGTGCTTGTGCCTTCAACACTTTCACAACTATTTTCTGCCCAATAAAATAAAGCACACTTGATCCTGTCACAGACACACTTAGCACACATGGATCCACCATAGGCCCTGCTGGCATGTTTTTTCATTTCTGACAACCTCATTAAAACTTTAGGTCCCACAGCACAAACTCCATAAAGTCGGCCTAGGCACACTCCACATGCAGATTTTGGTGTTTTCCCAACCTTCTTGGTATAAAGGTAAACAATTCTATTACCAGGGGTTCGGAACAGCCTAGTTTTGTTAGATTCTGTATTGTAGGACAGCCTTTGGCCATATGTCAAACATGGGACCATTCTGAATGTCTGTGGACACCATCTCCACAAGAGCTAGCTAAGATTATTTTTAAGTCATGATGGAATGTTGATTTTTATCAAATGCTTTTACTATATCATTGAGGTGATCACATTTTTTTTCTTTGATCTATTAATGAAACAAATTATATTAATTTTCTAATATGTCCCTAGCTTTCCTGAGATAAATCCAACTTGGTGCTGATGTATTCTCTTTCTCATTTTTGGATGTGTTTGGTTTACACTTATTTTCTTTAGAATATTTGTGTCTGTTATTGAGATTTACCTGTCATTTTGTTTTCTTTGAATGGCTGTATGTTGGATATCAATATTATACCAGATATGTCTCAAAAAGCCATTCCGTCCCCTTTATACTCTTTATCAAGGCAATGCCTTTGATAAGTCGAACTGTCTTGTGAAATTGTTTTAAAAGTGACATTTGTCTCCTCCCCCTGCTTCTCCCATGGCACTGTAATAGAATCCTCAAAATGCAAACATGACATTTTGGATCATGCACAATTCTGTGTTTTGAATGAAGGCTAAATTAAATAAAACCTTCCAAATAACTAACTCTTACCTTACAAATTGCATAAGATATTTATTATTACTTCTACTACTATTTAGTAAAATGCAAACACAGGTGACCAAATACATGGAAGTATACTTTAAGTAACCAGAATCTTCATAAGTGTGTCTAATTTCTAGAAGATTTTGAGTCAGATTGGAATTCTCTCTTTGAACATTAGAACTGACTTATAAAACCTATGAGCTTGGTGTTTTCTTTGCAGGGGAAATTTAAACAAATTTAAAGGGACTAAAAATTTTCTAAAATTTTGTTTTGTTTCTCTTTAAGAAATCTGTCCAGGTGGTGAGAGTTATTTGGTCTGGGGAGAACTGGAGCCTCTCTCAGGGGAACAGCACAGATTATTTCATATTCTACATTTTTTTTTATTGTAGTAAAATACATTTAACATAAAATTTGCCATTATAATCATTTTTAAACATACAATTCAGTGGCATTAATTGCATTCACAGCATCATGCAATCATCATCATGTAGTTCATTTTTTGTAATTATTTTAGACTGTTCAGTTTATAGAGTCATTTTTCATATGCTTTCTTTTGCTAGGAATCAATCTACTTCCTGTGAGTTTTGAGCTTGACTGACAGTTACTCATAATGTGTTTAATATCTGAAGCATCTGTAATCATATCCTTTTTTGCTTTTTCATTTTCTTCATGTGCTTTCTCTTAGTTTTGTCTTGAATAATCTTGCCTGGCTTTTTCCTATTTTATTAGATTTCAAAGAACCAATTTTTGGCTTGATTGATCTGCTCTGGTATTTGTTTTTTAGTCATGATGTTCTTTCTTTCCTTCAGCTTCATTTATTTTGAGTTTTTTCCTCCATCCTTTTAAGTTGGAAACAGAATAATTTTTAACTTCATTTGTTTTCTAATGTAAGCATATAAAGCTTACTGTTTTCCCTAAGGCCCACTTTAGCTGCAACCTACAAGTGTTGGTACCTAGAACTGGTCAGTAGCCATAGCATCATGTATTTTCTCATTACTAATTTAATTTTTACCCAGGAGCTATTCATAAGTCTGATGTTTTCTAAATTTCAAATGTATGACCTTTTTTCTATTAAAATGAATAATATGAAACTGCTAACATGCAACTATTTTTTAACCTACTAAAATGCCAGTTTCATGTGTTTCAATATAATACACATGTTCCTCAACTTATAGTAGAATTATGTCCCAATAAACTCATCCTAAGTTGAAAATGTGTTTAATATAGGTATATTAAACACTGAACGTCATAGCTTAGCCTACCATAAACGTACTCAGAACACTGACGTTAGCCTACAGTTGGGCATAATCATCTAACGCAAAGAATACACTGCAGAGTATTGGTTGTTGACCCTCATGATCGCATGGCTCACTGGGAGCTGCAGCTGGCTGCCACTGCCCAGCACCACAAGAGAGTATCGTAGCAGATATCACTAGCCCAAGAAAAGATCAAAATCAAAATTCGAAGTACAATTTTTACTGAACATGTATTGCTTTCACCCCATCGTAAAGTTGAAAAATCATAAATCAAACCATTGTAAGTCAAGGACCGTCTGTAGTTTTCTTTTGTTATTAATGTATAACTTGATTACAGTTTGACCAGAGAATTTATGTATGTACAGATTCTTTGAAAGTTTTAAAACTCGGTTTATAGTATAGCAATAAGGCTAGTTTTTCTAAACTTGCCAATGTGTGCTTTTAAAGAGTACGTGTATTCTCCATTTATACAGTGTTTGTGTTTTAAATGAAGCTTGTTCATTTTAGTATTCAAATCCTCATATCCCCTTTTTTTCCTCTAATCCATTACTCAGAGTAGTATGTTAGGATCTCTTACATTGATGGCTACTTGTCTCTTTTTACTTCAATTCTGCTAGCTTCTGTTTGTAAATTTTATGAAACTATGTTGTTAGTGTGTATAGCTTCTGTACCTTTATATCTTCCTGGTTAATCGAACCTTCTATCCCAATGTAGTACCTTTTGTAGTACCTTTTGTCTTAAATGAGTGACATTTAGTTAGCCAAACAAATAATTTTGGTTAATGCTTGCTTGATATGTCATTTTCATTTTTGAGATTCAACCTTTCAGTGTTTTGTTTTTTAGCACATCTTATGAAAGAGCATATTTATCTTAATCTAACACGACAGTCTTTGTGTTTAAACTGTATAGAGTTTAGTCCATTTACTTGTACATTTATTAATATAGGCATTTTCTACCATCTTACATTGTACTTTTTATTTTACCTTAATTTTTTCGTTTTCCTTTTCTTACTTTTGTAATAATTGAGCTTTTTTTCCTCCTAAACTAAGAATTAAACCCACTATATCCATTTCTTTAGTGATTACCCACCTGTTTTATCACTTTAGACTTAAAGTCTAAAGCTAACTAATATCTTTATTCCCTGCTGGATGAATACAAGGAGCATAAAACTACAGTCACCTTCTTCCCAATTTATATATTTCTATCATTCAGTGTTCAGGGTTCTAGCTTGCTTTTCCATGTCACAAATTAGATGTTACCATTTTACATTATCAAGGTTCGCTTAGTCTTACCCTCTTTATTTCTGTTCACTCTTCTTTCTTAACGTTTCAGATATTCAAATTCCTATTCCCTGGAATACTGAGAATTTGCGGTAGTGGTAGTTTCTTTTTGTTTTTGTTTTTGTTTGTTTAATAAAACAATAATAATTTTACAATTCATTTAATGGCAACTGGTAACCATAAAATTAGCAGTGGTTATCTTCAAGTTATTTTACTGGCTGTGCTGTCATTTCTTGAGGCTGATCGAAGTCACCTAGAGTCAGACCATTTCCCACTTAAGATGTGTCATATAAATCAGACTTGATTTGTCACCAGCATTTATAAAACCAGACCTAGGGAAGGAACTAGGTCTAGGGACACATACATGATTCTTAATATAGCGAATGTTTAGCCTGCCCTGATTATTACAAAATCAGAACAGCGAGAATATTCGCAAAGTGGTAGTTTTTTTTTTTTTGATGAGTAAACTTTCTCAGGTCTTTATTTTTAAATGTCTTTATTTTAATCTCTTTTTAAAATTTTAAGCTTTTCATATAGGAATTATCAAGCATGCAGAAAAGTAGACTAGTTAGTGAATCTTCGTGTCTGTCGTCAGCACTAAGCTTTGACAGTTTTCAATAGTTTACCAACCTTGGATTATCTAGGCCTGAGTTGTCTCATATACCAAGCACATGTGCTATTTAAATGTATGTTTAAATTTTAATCACTTAAATAACACTGGCTTTATGTCAAGTGCTCGACAGCCATATGTGACTAGCAGCTACTGTAGTTAGTAGTGCAGATAACAGTATTAGACTATACCGGTAGCCTGTCCACCCACATTTTCTTATTTCTGGAGCTTTTTATACAACACATTCCAGACATCACATCCTTCCGTTGGTAAACACTTGAGTGCACATCTCTGGCCAGTGCGTAACCACCACATTTCCCCACCTGGCAGACGCCAGCATTCCCGATGGTCTCCAGACTGTCTCTTTGCACTTGGTTTGTTCAAATCAGGAGCCTAACAGGGACCCCACGTTGTTTTTTCCATATATCTCTCTTAAGTTTGTTTTATCTCCTTTTTATTTTTTCTTTTAAAAAAAAAGTCTATTCACTTATTGGAGATATCAAATTGTCCGTAAAGTGTCCTACATTCTGGATTTGGCTGCTTATTGCTTCTTTTTGTTTAACTTGTTTATCTGTATTCCCTATTAATAGTAGTAGTTAGTCTAGAAGATTGATTAGATAGGTTTGATGTCATAAATTCACCCTTAAACCTAAAGAAGTTACTTTAACTGGATTTAGAATTCTAGGTTAATGGTAATTTTTTTCTTAGCACACTGAGGATGTTGTTCTTTCTTCTGACACCCATTGTCGCTCTTGAAAAGTGAGCCATCGGTTTGTTTTTCCTTTTTACGTGACATAATTTTTCCCTGGCTAAGATTCTGGGGGCGGGGGGGAAATCAAACACCAAAGAAGAAAAACCTATAATTTCTTTTTCTTCAGACAGCTTGGGATTTATTGTGCTTCCTGGATCTAAAAGTTAGTGTCTTTTACTAATTCTAGGAAATTCCTAGCTAATTTCTTATCAGGTGGTGCTGACGAATTCTAATCTGATGGTTAATTCTTGCATTGAGTTTCTAACTTCAATGAGTATATTTTTTATTTCTAAAAAGTGTTTTTAATGCTCTCTGACCATTTTTATTGTCGTACTCCATCTAAGTTTCTCTTAGTTTCTTTAAGTATGTTAAATATAGTTTTTTACAGTTCATGTCTAAACTATCTGATATTTGAAGCGTTTCTCTTTTTTCCTGCTGCCTGTGTTTTGGCCGCTTCTCAATTATCGTATGTGGTATATTTGTGTTGTATAGTTTTATTAACTGTGACCTCCTCAATTTACTTAGAACTTTATATGTGAGAATTTTTTGAGGCCTGGCTTGAACTTAAATTTTCCAGAGATTGGTCCATTTGTTCATATTGCTTGAGTGAGGGCGGTGACACCTAGGACCCTCCTTAAGTGAAATTCTCTCAAGGATTTTTTGGACTACATGGATAATGTGAATTTGGACTGAAACCTAAGATTTTCTTTTTCTTCTATATCTGATGCTAAAGACCTAGGCCGGTACATTTTGTCACCCTCCTGTTCTGTATGGAATGTTTTCTTTTCTTTAAAACTTTTAATTACGGATTTTCAAACACTCAGGAGTTGAGGGCACTGTGAAGCCTCTCTATACTTATCACCCACCTTCAGTGATTCCCAATATTTTGCAATTTTTAATATATCTGTTCTTCTCTTTGCTTACTATTATAATTGAGTTTTGTTTTTCTGGAGCATGTTAAATCTAATATCTGACATTTCACTTGACCTATAATTTGAATCATACCTGTAGAAGAAAAGGACATCTAAGGTACAGCCAGCCTGACTCAGTGTGGAGCTAAAAGAGGAAGAAATGTTTCAGAGTAACAGATGTAGGAGATAACCCTTTAATAAAAATAAACTTTTAACAGACGTTTTTAGCTTTACTGTGATCACATCCTCCAAATTAACTATTTCTTGATATTTTCAGTGCTCTTTGACTATGAACAAGCTGGGACACACTTGTAGTTAAACAAGTTGGGTTTATAACTCATTGCAGTGAGGCAGAACATGTACCATGGTGAACTGTGAGACATCTCAGTAAGAGGGTGTGAGAAAAGAATGAAAGGATTTGGCCTTGTGTCGGGTGCTGTTTGGGGAAAGGTTCTGAACCAGATGTCAAGAAGCAAGGGTAGTTCTGTGATTGACTACCTTTGTAAAGCTTACCCAGAAGGAGAGGAAACTGGACAGAGACCAAAGGTATCACTGATAAACAAAGAGCAGCCACTCATGTTAGTCACACAGGGGGTGGGGGGTGTTGGGTCCTTTTTGAGGCCTGGATAATGTTAATGTTTTGTCTGTGTTCAGACATGATTACAGAGTAGTCTTGTTTTTTTCTTTAATATATCATGGTAACGGAGTGGCCTTGTCTGCTGTTGCTCTTGTGAAATTGTTTATATTCAACAGGATAACACCTTGACCTAGCGATAGCACCAAGGCAGCACCTGGGTTTCAGGGGCTGCTTTTCTTTTTCCCGATGTCATATAATAACCTGTCTGTGCTCAGTTCACTCAAAATGTCTGAAAATGTGTTTTTTACAGTTAATGTTGTTAGAATCAAGATCTAAGGTACACAAGCCACAGTGGATAGTTATGTGTCTCAAGTCTCTTAATCAGGAACAGTTCTCCCTTCCTCTTTCTCCCCCAAACTGGGTTTGGCTAATGGTATCCTAATAGTGTCATTTAACATGTCCCTCAGTCTCTCCTCTTACCCTTTTTCAATAAACTGCTGATTAGTTTAAATGATTTGTCAGCTTTTTTCGGCAAAAATATTTTATCGTTGTTGCTGTTGTTGTATCAAATCAGAACTCACATGATATCCAAATGCCTCTTTTGTGATGTTAAGATTTATCAGGTGATTTTGATATCCATTTGATCCTTCCTTTATAATGTTCTCCACCTTATTTAGAGAGTCTCAGATTTTCTCCCAATTAGTAAAACTCCTTATTTTCACTTCTCCACCTTGTGGCTAAGATTAAGTGTAGTAATAAGATTCCTTATTAATGACAATAGGGGGAAAAAGTAACTTAATGGAAAAACTTGTTGTGTACCACTTTAAGTTATCAAAGTTATGACCAATAATGAGACAAACTGGCATCATATGCCTCCTGCAGTGATGCACTGAGGACACACATCAATATGTACTAGTTCATCCAAAAATGTGCTCGCTAAATCTAATCAAAGAGAACATCAGATAAACCAAACTGAGGTACAGTCTAAAGTAATTTGGCCTGGACTTCAAATCTTCAAAGATGACGAAGGCTGAGGGACAGGTCCAGCTTTGAGGAATAGTTTGAGGGCATGAGCTAGATGGGAAATTTAAAAATAATTGCCATAAAGTTACCTTATTGGGCCAGTTTGTGAAATTCTGTGTATGGACTGTGTGGTAGAAAATACTATTAAACCCATGTTAAGTGTTCCTGATTTTGATTATTGTGGTTATGTTTGAGAATGTCCAAGTTCCTGTGACATGCTGAAGTATGTAGTAGAACGGGGTTATGACATCTGCAGTTTCCTCTCAAATGGAGTCCTCTCAATATCACTCTTGCTGAAACACACACACACAGGAGAGAGAAAAGAAATGTGACAGAACTTTAATAGTTAGTGGAGAGTCTGTGTGGAGAGTATATGGAAATTGATCATATTCTCCCTATTCTTTGAGTTTGAAATTTTTTCAGAATTAAAAGTTGAAAATGAACATCTCCATTCACATTTCACTCAATATTTTAGTAGCTATCGATTGTTGCCTAGATCCATTCATTCAGTAGCAGTTGCGGAGTGGTGACTTTCTGATTCTAGCATTTTCTTCATAATAAAGGAGGCTTCTAATAAAGCATCTGTGATTCTTCATAAAGAAGACTTTCCCCTAGCACAGCTTTTGATAATCATAAAATACTGTTCCCAAAGGAGGGGCGATACATACTTGATTCTTTTCCTTTTATGAATTGTCAGAATAATGGCTTAATGTCCTGGCCCCCTTCAGTAGTAACCACTGAGGTTTCTTTTTTTAAGTATTACTAACTCATGATTTTGTTTTACATCTGATGTATTTCAATTGACTGCAGTCATAATTCTTCATTAAATTGAACCTTTTTAAGTTATCACCTGTGTCTTTTTGACATGACTTCATTAGTCATGGTAGGCTCTTTGCTTTCTGGATGTTCCAGGCTCATCTAGAACATTTCCTGTTCTACGCTAGACTCCACTATTTCCCAAATGAGTCCTGGTTTCTTTCACGAGCAAGTGGCATTTAGAGGCATTTGAACACTAGAGGGACTCATGGCTCCTGAGTGTTACTAACTAGGCATTTCCTTAGCGTAGTCTAGAAAGAAATTTAAAAAGAAAAAATAGTAAGTACATACTACATTCCCAATTCCTAACTGTTCTTGGCTAGGGAGGTAAAACCTTAACAGTGAACTGTGCTATATGTAAGTATGTGTGCATATGTACGTGTGAGGCTAGCACGAGGAAGCTTCCAGGGCTGTAGGTTGAGTGTCTGTCAGGCCTAGACTCTTACGGCTTCTTTCTTTTCCTCTGCCTCTGCTTGCTCAGAACTCTGCCTGGCCAGGAGGGAGACACAGAAAAGGAAGAATGGCTGCAGGATTGCTGACATCCTGGTCACAGGTATATCGAAATTATTCAGTTCCCAAAAAACACCGCTGTTCCCAAAGGACACATCTCTTGCCCATGACTCATAGCTTCATAGCCCTACTAGGCAGGCCTCAGACTTCTGTTACTATAATTTCGTTGATTTTCTTTTTCAGTTTTTCCTCCAGGTTGAGTATGAGTTCCATATTCTGTGGATTGCTATGAAGCAAAAGAGAGATTTTTCGCTAGGAAAATCATTCATTTTCCAAATATTTTTCTCATCCTGCACTACGCTCCATCTGTATTGGATCTTGAATAGGACTGCAAGAGTTCTCAGAATCTAGTTGCAGAAATATTAGGTCAACTGTGTGTTAGAAAAGCTGGCAAAACCATAGCCTGAATAAGATGGTCCAGGGAGTGAGGGTGAAAGACTAGAGTTTCAAGAATTGAGCCCTGGGGCAGACAGCGAGAGGCCTCCGAAGAAAGTCTGAGCTTTCTGTGCACTGATCCTTCCCCTGCCCTGGCAGCCTCACCCACCGTCCCTCTGATTCAGTGTTGAAGATAGTCCCTGGCTGAGCCAGAATGTGTGTGTGATGTTTCAGGACTTGGTGACTTTTGAAGAAGTAGTGGTGGACTTCTCGCAGGAGGAGTGGGCACTGCTGGACCCTGCTCAGAAAATGCTGTACAGAGATGTGATGCTAGAGAACTTAAGGAACCTGGCCTCCGTGGGTAAGGTCGGCTTCATTCCTTCATTCCTTCGTGCAGCAGATAGTTTATCACTTACTGTGTTCTGTGATCTGTGAAAAGAATGACATTATATGGTGAACACGAAAAGAATGGTCCCTGCCCTTGTGGGGCAGTCTCATGGCTTCCCATGAGAATGCACTGATTTTGTTTTCTCTGTCATTAAAAGGTGTAGGTAATTTGCATTTTGTTTCTGGTCTTGGCCTGGATTTCAAGGGTCAGCTCCACGTGGGACACAGAGTACGGGTGCATGTTCAGGGGCCTAGTGAAAGATCTCTGATCTGATCTGTCTGCTGCTCCTAAAGCTGCGCTTGCCTGTCTGCTTCAGACCAAAGTGTGGGAATCCATTTTGTGAAAGATTTCTCGTCTCCTTCACACCCCTACCCCCAAATCACATGCCTTTCCCCAGGGGCAGGTTATCATCTCTGCAAACACAGTCTGATCACTGAGGTGGAGCAGGAAGAACTGAGGACGGAGGACAGAAGTCTCCGAGGTGCCCGATCAGGTGAGCCCCAGGCAGAAAGGAGTCATTGTGTGGAGCAGCCATAGCCAGTGACCGTGGTACATTAGGGAAGGAGTGTCAGTCAGTGCAACAGATACTGAGGCCCTTCCATGAGCTTTCCTCTTTCACCATCTCTCCGTTCGTAGTTTGGTCTCAGAGAAAAGACTTTTTAAATTCCTCTTTCAGTTTCACATTTCCTTGAATACTTTTTGTTCAGTTCTCCCTACTTTACTTTCCAGGTAATACCCTCTTACTGTCTCAAACCTCCAGAATCTGTTCTAAGTAAAACACCTCCCATTTCTGTTGCTTGTTCCTATCACTGACATCTCCTCTAAGAACCAAGTTCCTAAAATAATTTCTCTGGTCTTTGGGTACATCTTCTCTTCATCTATATTTAGTGTTATTATTTGAAAACAAATCCATAGGGTACTTTCCTCTTTTTTTCTTTTACCCTGCTTTTTCTCCTGATAGTTATATAAATTTTTCTTCATTCAATTTCAGACTGGGATACTCAACTTAAATCAAAACACACAATTCCAATACAAAATGTTCCTGGGGGGAAAACTTCTAATGGCATAAAAATGGTAAGATTCACTAGGAATGATTCCTGGTTTTTATATAGGAGAAGTGAATTTCAGTGAATCAAAACAGCAGCACCACATACACAAGGGGAGAGAGTTGAGGCAAGTGCATTCACTCACCAGAAAGCTGTCTTAGGAAAGACTTTATGAATCTCGCAAAATTGGAGAAATCTCCAATCCTACCTCCACCCTTGCTGCCTTGCAACAAGCAGCTTCTCAGACCATATCAAGGAGTAAACATTTACTTAAGTGTGATTTTGTTATGAAGTGTTTAATATATAATTCATTCTTTACTCGTTATTACAAAAACTAAATTTAGGGTGCTCTTTGATGGGAGTGAATACAGTAGAGCCTTGGGAATAACATTCAGCTCATTCAACTTGAAGGTATTAATAGGGCAAATTGTACATGTGCCCTAAAATTAAAAATGTCAGTCACAATAATGTACTTCCTATATTTGTCGATCCACATGGAAAAGAATTCTCATAAGCGTAATGAAAGTGAGAAAGCCTTTAGTCAGCTCTTATTCCTTATTCAACAGGCACCAACTCATCCTGGTGAGAAACCTTTGGAATTTGATCATTATGGAAAATTCTTCAGAAAGAACTGTCACCTTATTTGTCCAAGATATTTCAAGGGAGAGAAATGCTACAAATATAAATATGGGAAAGACTTTGGCCATCGCTCAACTCTTATGAGTCATTTGAGAACTCACACTGGAGAGAAAATTCTTGAATTCAATGATCGTGGCAAAGCTTTCAATGAAGAGGCCTCCCTTAGGAAACACTTAGGAACTCCCCCCAGAGAGAACGCGTATGAGTATAAGCAGTGTCTTGTGTCCTTCGGTTTACACTCTTCCTTTTTAGGACATGAGCAAATACCTATTGGAGAGAAACTCTGTGAATGCAGTGACAATGGAAAAAGATCTTCCCTTAGTGTCCACAAGAAGTTGTGTACTGTAGAGGAAAGCTCAAAATGTAATGAACACAGGAAAGTTTTCACTGGCCCTTTGTCCCTTCAGAAGTGTGCGAGACCTCACACTGGAGAGAAACCTTATGAATGCAGTGACTGTGGGAAAGCCTTTATTTTTCACTCTTCCCTTAAGAAACATGTGAGATCGCACACTGGAGAGAAGCCTTACAAGTGTAATCATTGCGGAAAATCCTTCAGCCAGAGCTCTCATCTTACTGTGCACAAAAGAACTCACACTGGAGAGAAACCCTATGAGTGTAAGGAATGTGGCAAGGCTTTTACTGTACCTTCATCCCTGCAGAAACACATGAGAACCCACACTGGAGAGAAACCCTATGAATGCAGTGACTGTGGGAAAGCCTTTATTGATCAGTCATCCCTTAAGAAACATAGAAGATCTCACACTGGAGAGAAACCTTATGAGTGTAATCAGTGTGGGAAATCCTTTAGCACAGGCTCCTATCTTATTGTGCACAAGAGAACACACACTGGAGAGAAAACCTATGAATGTACAGAATGTGGGAAGGCCTTTAGGAATTCCTCTTGCCTAAGGGTACATGTGAGAACTCACACAGGAGAAAAACCCTATAAATGTATCCAGTGTGGAAAAGCATTCAGCACCAGCACTAACTTAATAATGCACAAGCGAATACATACAGGGCAAAAACTTTATGAATGAAATGACCATAGGATAGCCTTTAGTGGTCCTTCACACCTCACTCCTTATTGTAGAACTCACACTGGAGAGAAACCTTACGACCAATGTAGAAAGCCTTTAGGCACAACTCTTAAGTTGTACTGGAACCACCTTATAAAAAATTACAGTTATATGATTGCTTTTATCAGTGACTATTTATCCTTAAAATTTGACATTAATTGATGAGTATTAAATGTTATGTAGCACTCTAAATTCCCCTTGATTTACACAAAAGTTTTGATAATGCTTTCATTGTAATTTAGTACTAAATATTGTCCAGTTCTCATCAAGATGTCTAGGACCTACATTTAACAATGTATTTTTTAATGTGCAGACTGTGCATATTTTAGTTACAGATTTCTAATTTAATTGTATTATACATAGAATGCACGGTCTTCATGATAGATTCTAAATGACATAGAATCAAACAAAATTGTTGGAGACTTGCTGTGTGTGTGGCCTAATGTGTCAAATGCAGCGAGTTACTGTCCCAACATCCATTGCTCCCTTCCTTCCCTAAAGTAACAGAACTACAGTTGTGTTCAAGTTGGCAGTGTGGACAACTTTTGAAGGATTCATCCAGCTTTCTTTGCAGCTGTGAGTGCCCATGAGCCCATAGTCTTGCCCAGTGGGAAAATAGTGAGAGGGCACTAGAACCCATGGAAATGGGAGCGTGTCATCTGGCATTTTCTCAACCGTTTGCCCTTTATCTTACATCTTCTTTCCTAGAAAATAGAGCAATAGGATGGCAGTCATAGGCTACTGAATATACAACAGGGACATACAGTATTATTTGGCTATCCCAACCCTGGGTTGCTTATTTCCGGACTTCATGTAATGAAAAAAAAAAATAAACTCCTAACTGGTTTAAACCACTCTTGTGGGAAGATTCCGTTACAACGGATGTCATATGTAGTCAGGTTTTAGGAATCCTTCAAGTATGGTTAAAAACAATGTATAGTCTGTCATTGCTGGGTATAAAAGTCTCAGTGTATCTGATGGATAAATCTGTGTTTTTTAAATCTGTATCATTACAAACCTTAGCACATGGATCTCTTTTATCGAGAGAAATATGTTTAAATGCCCCACTATGATTGTGGGTAGTCAGATTATTTTTTTAAATTCTGCCCCTCTTGGAATATTTTGAGGCAGTATATTGGTATATTTGGGTGCATACAAATGTCATTTGTTGTTTCTGGTAAATTGTTCTTTTCATTCTTATATAGTGCTCATTCTTTTTCCCTAATAACTAATGTTTATTCATTTACTTGATATAAATGTGAGCTCTTGACTTAGCTAATGTCATTTTTTTCTTACCAGTTTGTAAGGACAACCAGAAACAACTTACCTTTCCTTGGCACTATGTTAATTATGATGGCCCTTGCAACACCAAGAGGGATCTCTCCTTGGCCGTGACATTGATCTCCTGTGGGAGACAGACAAATCAGGAAGTCCCCAGCAGCCTTACCTATCAAAGATTCCAGCAGCCCTCGGTATCTCTCTATTGTTCCTTGCTTTGCTTCTGTTGAAATTTGTTCCCCAAACTACTGGGATGTGAGAGTGCCCCGACCGGCGGGACAAAACAACGCGGGACGAGGAGGAACCTATGGAGGATGAAGGCGAGACAGGAGACTCAAAGAGACAGAAGCAAGACAGTATTCTGATCAAGCCTCAAACTTTATTTTTCAGCGGGGATATTTATACAGAACAAACAAAGGGAGGCGGGGCTAGCTGGCAGAAGACAAGCGCATTGGCTCCTGGGGGG